TTTTTTTTTTTTTTTTATTTTTGCAAAAATTTATTTTAACAATGTACTAGCCATTTAATCCGTTTATATTAATATAAATAACATTTTAACATATATTTTAATAAAAAAATAATTTTACATATTTTGGTTCATGATAATATTCAAATATTATTTTGTACACAAATTTAAGTTCGTATAATGTCAATATTATTTATAACAATTATAGAAGTAATATTTTTTTTAATATAATGATAAATATTCAATATATATTAATATTATTTATTGATGTGATTAATTTAAAAATATATAAATAAATTTAATGTTTGTTAGGAATGTGATAGATCTCGATATTTTAGGTACAAATATATAATATATATGTATATATATATATGATATGAATATCTTGATATACAAAAGAAATTTTATGTGATATATTACCTTAATAAATCAGTCGCTATTACCTAATTCGTATTTTCAAAACATACCATAAGGTATTTACATAGTTTCCAAAATTAATAAACAACATTTTTTTTTTTGCGGCAAATAGTTACTATTTAAAAAATAATCAAACTTTTTTATATAGATATAGAGTATAGATACTTTGTTTAACTTATTATTTTTATCCTTTTTTTATATATAAATAAATATATTTTATATATGATGTATTAAGGGAAAATTATGTCCTTTAGAAAACGTGCGGCTGAAAATGCAGCAAACAGAAACTTGTGGATAAAAACACTCACCCAAAAAACAACAAAATAAAAATCCAAAATTCAAAAAATAAAAAATAAATAAAAAAAAAAATGCTACTCTATGGAGTTAATCCCATAAGGTGCTCGATCATATGCTCCAAAGACAAACCACTAGCCAGAAATCCACCCACGTTAATCACCGCCGCCCAATCTCTAGCCGCCGCCGCCTTATCATCCGCGGCGGCCCTGGTGCTCTCCGCCGGATCCATCGAGGTGTCGGCCCCGGCGCCGCCGGACGAGACCCTGTCCAACATACCGCAAACGCTCGACAGCGTCTGCACGCCCGAACGCGGCTGCATGAAGAGGTACAAAATCCAAAGGCCGAGATCGAGGAAGGCCGAGGCCTGCACCGGAAAATGCGTCACCACCTGCATTCAGGGCGGCTACGGTTCCCCCGGCGAGGGCCCCTTCAATATTAGGAGGTAACAAAAATGTGTTCTTTGTTATAAATTAGCAATATGGTCTTTTCTCAATGTTTGTTTAACTAATAATCGAACTCTCTGTATCAATCAGTTCAACACATTTTAAATTAAAGGTACAACTTAAACTCTATTTCTAGAAGTTTTACATCAAAATGTAATGAATAAGGCTAATTATCTCATAAATGTTTCTCTAAACATAACAACAAGTTGTGTACATATGCAATTCAAGTACAATATAAGTAATTATTGAAAAAATATAATTGGTTTACTGAAATTAATTTGGATAAAGATATGGATAAATGGTTGATCAAATTTAATGAGAATATAATAATGGCTGCTCCTTTTTCATCCACTTTCTTGATCAACCCACTTATAACTTGTGATTCACGTAAGAGAATTAATTAATTTGGTTGTTGGAATTTGAAGTTACACGTAGAAAAGCTTATGGATAACTCTAAATATGAGGTGTCTGGATAATATGCTTTATGAAATCTTTGTGGAGAAGATGATAGATATTAAGGGTAGCCATAGTTTAATGGATAGAAATTCTTTGAGATTTTTTTTATGTAAATAAATGATCATATGCAGCCCGTGAAAAAATGGGTAAAAAGGTCTGAGATTCACATGAATCAAAACCGGTTTTCAATTTTTGTTGACAAAAACCTTAAAAATGTTGACCTGCAAAAGAGTGTATCTAAGGGAGCCTAACTTGTTCCCAAACACTTGAAAAATGTGAGCACCACCTTTGGCGAGTGGGCTCGGCTCGACTCGTTGAGACTCGAGTTCGGCTCAAGTTTGAGGCCTTAACGAGCCCAGCTCGAGCTCATTTAACGCTCGTTTGGCCAACGAGCCGAGCTCGACTCGACTCGAAAAGGCTTGAAAAATAAAATTTTTATATAATTTTTTATAGTTCGACTCGTTAAAGCTCGAGATCGGCTCGTTAAGACTCGAACTCGATACCTTAACGAGTCGAGCTCGAGCTGAATCTCGGTCTCGTTAAGGGCTCGAGCTCGAGCTGGAGCACTCGAAACTCGAGCTCGGCTCGACTCGACTCGTTTACAGCTCTACTTTTGGCTTAACAAAAAAAAAGATGGTCTTAATTTGTTTGATAACTATTTGGGACTATTTGATCCCTAATTCTTTTTATAAATATAAGTAGCAATATTTGTTTTTTTAATCCAAATTTATTTTTTTTTAAAAAAAAAAAAAAAGTTAATAGGAGTTTTTTGAAACGAATGGTTGCTGTAGAGACATAAAATTTGTGTCCAATCAAATAGTGCCACGTGAAAATTAATGTATTAAAAATCAAGTCATATTTTCTATTTATATTTTAGGAATTTCCATATTTTTAATTCCTAAATTTAAATAGTTAATTAATTGATATTTTAATATTTTAATTCTTGACCAATCAAATAATGCCAAGTGTCAAATCCTTATTCTTGGTAAATAGATCATATCTTCTAGAAGATCTTGGAAGATTTAAGTGGATCTAGAAGATCTTTGGGAGATCTATGAAGATCTTAAAGATCTTATGTGAATCATCATGGACCAATCAAATTGCGTCCTACGATTCTTAAATTTGGTAGGGTGCTCTCTCCTACACCTATAAATAGGGACTCTCCCTAATGTCAAAAACACATCATAATTCATATTTTGAAGTTCAAGAGCTCTATAGAATTCTCTCTACAAGTTTCAAGTGTTCTTGAAGATTCGAAGCCGTTCTTGAAGATTCGAAGGAAGATTCAAGCACATTCAAGCTCAACACCGACGTTTAATCGGAAACAAGCTGTCAAGCCTTCGAATTGCGTTCATAATCAAGTTCAAGTTCAAGGTCTCTCGACGAGATTCAAGTGTTCTTGAAGATCCAAAGGTGTTCCTGAAGATTCAAAGCAAGATTCAAGAGCGTTCAACCTCAAGACTAGCGTTCAATCCGGAAACAAGCTGCGAAGCCTCCGAATAACGTTAGTAAATTCAAAGCCGGCGTGAAGAAGATTCGAGATCAACTTTGCGACGAAGACCAAGGATTCGTGTTCTTCGTGTTCTTGGGATATTTTGACGTTTGATCCGGGAAAAAGCTTTCAAGCCCTCGGATTACGTTAATTCAAGTCAAATCAAGTCAAGGAGAAGATCAAGCCGAAGATTTCGCTCCAAGACTTAAATATTGTTTGTGAGAAGAATCAGAGGAGAAAATAGAGATTGTAACCCGCAATATTTATTTTGATTCAAGAATTTCATTTGAATAATATTTTTCGTGTTTTTAAATTCAATTCACGAAATTTGTTGTTACAGTTGCAATTTAGTTAGTTTACATATTAAACAACTAATTAACAAACAATTCTACATAATCAACAAATAAGTCAATCAAATCTACCCATTCAATTAGTTATTCGTTGTCGCTTAAATTTAATTTGTTAGAGCATCTCCAAGAGCCTCCCTATCCTTCTTTCTTATCTCAAAAATAGGGATTTTCTCTCAAAAACTGTCTCCAACAGTTCCCCCAAACTTGGTCCTATTTTTAGGATGCCCTCAAATAGAGGCTTCTCTTCCTCATTCCTGGGGAGGGAAAAACGACCCTCCATTTTATCTTCCCGTCATTATTTTCGATACGCGCTCTTTTCTTTCAACCTCTCGCGGTCTTTTTCCTCCCTGCTCCTTTCAAATCCCCCTCGTCGCCCTCCACCGCCGCCCGCTTGCAACATCCACGGCCGCCCTCTCGCCGCCCTCTACCGCCGCCCCTGAACAAGTCGAATCCCTCGCCGCCGCTGCTGCCGGAAAGGTGCCGCCACTACCGGATGGAAGGTGTCGGCGTCGCCCCAGGACAAAAAGGTGGCGCCGCCGCCGCAGCTGCCGCAAACAAGGTGCCGCCGCCGCTGCCCGATCAAGACTATCGCCGGCATCTCGATAGGTCCACCTAGTTTGGGCTTCAACTGGGCTTTTAGATAGATTTGTGGGCCTGGTTCAGATTCAAATTATAAAATAGGGAGACTCTTAGAGGACAGCAGAAATAGAAAGCAAATAGATATAGGATGGCTTCTTATTTCTCCAAATAGGAAATCTAAAATAGGAATTCTCTTGGAGATGCTCTATCCCCTATTAGCCAAGTCCCAAACATGATCTAATATTTTTTTTTTCACTATTCACGAATTATTCATAACTTCGTAGTTAAAACAAATGTTAAATAGATAGAATCCTCTATATTTCTACCGATTCTTTTGTGATTCTACCACAAGATCCTACCCACCCAAGAATTCAACTCTACTTTTGAATTTTCAAACGTAGTGCACCGAATTTTCAAAGTCTGTTTTTCGTTTTTTTTTTTTTTTTTTTTTTTTTTTTTTTTTTTTTTTTTTTTTTTTTTTTTTTTTTTTTTTGTCTTTTTTCTTTGTGTTGTTTTGTTGTTAAATTTAATTTTCCTTATGAAAATATTTGAGTAATTCAAAATAAGAAAAAACTACTTGTACAACTTTTTTGTACAACATTCAATGACAACATGATGTGGCACAATGTAGGTGGTTGAGATGCAAATAAATGTATGGTTAAGATTTAAGTTAATGGTACTTTTAACCATGTTGTCAACTAATGTTGTAAACTACAATTGTACATGTAGCATTGCCCAAAAAATAAAGAGAATAGATATAGAGTATCCGATTTTGTTATGGAGCCATTGGATAGCTCGACGTATGAAATCATCCATAATTTTTCATAAATGGTATATTGACACGTGTCATGCAATAAATATACATTGGACATGATGGCTCCATAGACTTTCTTAATAGAATATCTCACGTAGGGTTAAAAGCTTATGGCAAATGATTGGAAATGAAACATAATTTGTGGCGTGCTCCTCTCTAGACTAAAGTAGATCGTGCCATTGACGATGGCTTGATTAAGTTCTTTTTTCTATATAACGCGTTTTTGTTAATTATTTTTCTTCATCTTATTTATTTATTTATTTTGTATCTACAGACCTCTAGTTGTTTTCAAGGATGGTTTTCGGAGCCGTAAATATTGGTAAGTTTTCATTTTATTTTTTTTTCTCAATAAAATATTATTATTATTATTATTATTATTATTAAATTATTAATCATCTTGTCTTTTAAAGTAGTGAAATTTGGTTATGTGCAGCTTGTCCGAATGCTCTGATATCTGTAACTTGATCGGAGATGGTGACGACGGGCCCTGATTTCATTCATTCTTTTTTCTTATATTTTTTACTTTTACTTTGCCTATCAATCACACAATTCATGTATGGAACTGGTAAAAAAGTAAAAATCACATTCCAATAATGTTAGATATCATGTGACAAATCCAAGTTTAACTAATTAAGATTTGGTCTGTCAAGTTGGAATGAAAATTGAAATGAATAATTCACCTCAATTATATATATGTTTAACGAAAGGCTTATGAAATAACTCGTTCGTGAGCTCGGCTAGACTTATTACGATTCGTTAGGCTTGACAATTGATATACCTAGTTTTTTCATGTTACACGAATATGATTTACTCGTGAGCTTAGATAGACTTGTTAAGTGTTAACATTCGTTGGGCTTAAATAGGTAATTTTTCTGAACTTTTAGCAGTATTTGGCTCGTAAAAGGCTCCATCACAATTTGTTAGATCTAGAGCTTGACTGCTTGAGTTGTGCTCGTTAAAGCTCGAGTTCGAGTCGAGTTCGAGTTGGCACACAGACGAGTCTATCTCGAACTCGAATACTAGGAGTTCGGACTCATTTACAACTCTACTTCTAATATGATCAGGTCTAAAATCAATCTATCTTTTTCCAAATACAGAACATCTACACATTTTTCAGCTTATTTCCATGGGCAAACCAATCTAATCCTCAACCTAAACACAGCTATCAAAATACATTAAACAAAAAAAAAAAGAAATCGAAAAAAATAAAGATAAGTAAAACGGGTCGCCACCAGATCCAACCCGATCCGAAGTTTTTTTTCTCGCGTTGACAACTGATATAGTGAAACAATACAGAGATCGATCACAGTACGACCGTCCGATTTACCGAGAATTGAAAAGTCTACCTTCTGGAGGCGGCGACGCGACTGGGGGAGACGAGCCGCGAGACGGCGAGGCGGAGGCGCGGGTAGATGTCGGCAGCGTAGGAGATCGCGTCCCGGAGAAGATGATTCGCTGTGCGGATGAACGGATTCAGGCTTCGGATCGGCGGGAAGTAGAGGGTGAGCGGCGCCGCCGAGAAAGCCACCGTGAGAAAAAGCTCCAGCATCGATGAGACCTTTCGTCCCCAATTAGATTTTTTTTTTTTTTTTTAGTTTTTTTTTTTTTAATTTAGGCAAATGAGCGTTTTATTTATTATGTAGATCGATAAATGGGATGGGGTAAATATTAAAGTGGCCGCCATGAATTTTTTGAGTTAATTTTCTGACCAGTTTTAATGTTAAAGTTATTGAAATTAGCTTATAAATTTTAGTTTCATCTTATAATTAATAGCTTATAATTGAAAAACTAACTCCAATTGAAAAATTTAGTTGGTAGCTTATAAATTTAATTTCAACTTATAACTAATAATTTATAAATGAACAAAAATTTTATGGAGCCATCAGATGATTTTTTTATGGAGTTATGAATCACTTAATATATTGACATATGTTTAAAGTATATTTATTGTAGGATACGTGTCAATATACAATTTGTGAATAAATGTAAATGACTCCATAAGCCGAGTCATCCGATAACTCCATAGCAAAAATGCATAAATGAAAAATTAGTTTAAGTAAATTTAGTTGGTAGTTTATAATTTAATTTTCAGTTTACAATTACTTAATAGCTTGTGGCTTAAAAACTAACTTATACTGGTTGGATAAAAAGCTTAATCTAAAAATGTCAGTTAAAAGGTTTATAGCAGAAAAATAGTATATAAATGTGCTCGGTAAACTTAGTTTTTAGTTTAATTAAAAATTTCAACTAAGTTTTTTGAGGAAGCTTAAGATATGCTCGAGCTATTTTACAAATCTTAACCTACCAAATCAACTTATTTTAGTGTGGAAAGTTTATTATAATCTAACTAAATAATTTATTAAGCTATTTTATAATATTATTTACTCAGAAATTCTATGGCACCACATGTAGCACCATATTATGGTGTCACAATATGATGTGGCACATTATAATTGGTGCCACAACTATCACACATCATGTTGTGGCACCAATCATAATGTGTCACATCATGTTATGGCACTGTAATATGGTACCACATGTGGTGCCATAGAATTTCTGATTGTTTACCAAACACACTCTTAATAGCACACAATATTTTTTCTGTGGAATGTGCATTGTTCATACCTTTTTCTGGGAGATGCTCCGGTCCTGTTATGGAATTATTCCGTTGAGATTTGTAACGAGTTTGTAACCATTACAAATCCCGACAGAATAGTTCCGTAACAGGCCTGTAGCATCTCCCACCTTTTTTATTCATGTTAAGTGTATAAACCACTAAATAAGTTATAACTAATTTATAATACTTACATACACGTTCTTAACAGTACACAATTTTTTGTATTAGATGCTAAACGAGTAGATACATCTTAACTTTTATTAAATACTTTTCTAGCATGTATATATAGTTTAGTGTAGAAGTATATATATTTGTTGATAAAATATAATTACCTA